AGGAGGTGCCCACGGGGGGGTAGAGGGGCACGGAGGGGGCACAGGCAGGGCACTGCTGAGCCCCAGCGCCGGTGGGAGAGACGGGCGGCAGGGGGGAGCGCTCTGCTGGCAAAGATGCTCCCGGCACACACATTCACCCTCTCACAGTCTTAAGAGCCCTTTTGACTTTTGAATCCCAAACGTGCCTGGCAGGGTTGTCAGCTTCCCGTTTTCCTGAGAAACAGAGTTTAGATCTAGCAATGCCCCCGAGCCTTTCCTCCTGAACGTTGAGTTGGTCCGTCCGCATGCGGGATGCTGCATGGTGAGGGACGTCCTGTGGGCATTTGTAGAGCATGGCGGTGTGTCCCAGCCGTGCACAAACAAGTGCAGCAACGGCCCAAGCGCTGTGCACAGCTGGGAACTTTCCACACGTTGGAAAGGTCAGGCATTGCTCCTTGCGGCGCTGTGCAGCCATGTGCTTCCTTAGCTCTGGAGGCATCACCACCACCTTCCCGTCCCTGCTCTCAATTGAACCTGCCACGTACGGTAGCAGGTATCAGTGCTGACCAGACTCAAGATGCCACTGAAAGGCTGGGCAGATCGATGAGCTTCTCCCATGCCTCCCGCCTTGTTTTCCACCTGCTGGGCTCCCTCCCCATACCCTGTTCTCCTCCCCGGGCCTTGCTGGCTCTGTGCTGCCTTCAGATGTTGCCTCCTGCTCAGTCAAAACGGAAATGAAAACCTAGCAGAGCAGGTGGAGTTCATTTCCCACCCACTGCTGCGTGCAGGACAGTGCAATCCGTCACCATTTTGTACCTTTCCATTGCGTGGTCTCTGGGATTCAATTTTCCAGGATGTGGGCTGGGGACCCTTGCCACTGCTGTGTTACCTGGAGCAGGGAAATCACATCCCAATGACATGGTTGTAACTGGGCAAGCTCTAGCAGGGGATAGGACTGGAGAAGTGATGTTACAGGAATTTATTGACTGCTTCCATACGATCTCCTCTGGCCATAGCCACTGCACAGGGGAGGGCTCCTGGCTGCAGGGTAAGGCCTGATAAGGGTTTCCCATTGTCCCATGTCCCAAGGCACGGGCCAGAAGAGAACAGCTCCTTTCCGTCATTATAAATCTCATGTCACTCAGGAGATTGGTCACCCTCGTTCTCTGTGCTTCTATGCACTCCCAGGAGAATTGGAAGTGTCAATCTGCTCGAGGGTAGGGATGCTCTGCAGAGGGACCTGGCCAGGCTGGATCCGTGGGCCCAGGCCAATGGGGTGAGGTTCAACAAGGCCAAGAGCTGGGTCCTGCACTGGGGTCACAACAACCCCACGCAACGCTACAGGCGTGGGGAAGAGTGGCTGGGAAGCTGCCCGGCGGAAAAGGACCTGGGGGTGTTGGTCGCCAGGCGGCTGAATAGGAGCCAGCAGTGTGCCCAGGTGGCCAAGAGGGCCAACGGCATCCTGGCTTGTATCAGGGATGGTGTGGCCAGCAAGAGCAGGGCAGTGACCGTGCCCCTGTCCTGGGCACTGGTGAGGCCACCCCTCGAATGCTGGGGTCAGGGTTGGGCCCCTCACTCCCAGAAGGACCTGGAG